GTTGAAGAAGGGAAGGGGGAAGAACGACGACAGCCCCAAAAAGAAGCCAATGACTGAACTCTTTGGTGCTCAAAGTCCAAATTGAGACATTGGTCTTACGCGCGCACAAAAAGTTTGTCCTGCTTTTCCAAATTTCCTAGAAAAGGGCAAAAATAGAACATGTACGAGATAATAAAGTTCAACGCCTATTAATACTGACGAAACATAGTTTTAAAGAAAGAGAAAAGAGACAGAGAAAGATGCCAAGCTCAACAACTTCAATGATTCACTGAACACCTACTATCAAACAATTAAGTTGAAAAATCCCAAACAAAGCATGCAGACCTGATAGCTTCTGGATCATCTTTCATCCCCTGCAAACTCTCGGAGTTTACACTCTTCTTGTAGGCATCATCAGTTTTAGAATTGTCAACGACTTCTTGTGGTCGTGAGGCAGAAATATTTGTAGATGCAGGGTAGTCTTCTTCAACTATTTCTTCAATGACAATTCCTATGAAATGAGTTAGAAATGTAATGTCAAATTCAATTTCTACGTAATTTTTCATCCCACCACTGTCAAGCTACAGAATATATCCGACCAAAGAATATGCTGAATGAGCAAAAAGGACATACCTTTTGAAACATTCTTCCCATCTTGTTCCAATATTTTCTTGGCATCCCTGTGGCAACAATTAGTTCCAAAGAATATATCAGACTAATGAAGAACAGGTAATAAATTCTTGGTTGAATGTCTCACATACAGAAGCACTCTGAGAAAACGCATGCTTGACCCAAAAATAAATAAATAAATGAATAAAAACTGGAAAGGTGAGCAATTTCTTTATCTAAGCCGTATAAAGACTGGTAGGCAAATTCAAGGAGACAAGTCGCATGAAATAGTGAGGACGAGAACTCACGATAAAACATCTGCAATAGTTTCATCATCAGGAGAAATTTCATGTGCCTTGCTCAAATCAGAAACAGCATCCTAACAAAATGAAATCCAATGAAAAAAATCAGCAGACAGTAGAATTTGAATGAGTACAATATCAGAAAAACAGTTAGGTAGCCTATCGTCCCAAACTCACTTGAAATTGACATAATTCTTTATATGCTTGACCTCTCCGGTAAAGTGCTTTCACATTTCTTGAATCATATGCCAAAACCTAAAGTAAGAGAAATTTTTGGCATCAATGGGTACAAGAATTAAGCATTTGAATAAATATCACCTTTGAAATAATAATCATATGCAAGAAAAGAAAATCCCTAGAATAATGGAGTGTGAAAATTGTCCACTGAATAAAAACAATTCCGGCACCTCATACATGGGAGGTTGTCAAATCATAATCCATGAAACAATTGAATTCCTAAAAGCGCATGGCCAGAGTGCATCATTTGGTATATTTTTTTTTTTAGCAAAAATGTCATGTAAAAGATATTTAGAGGCATGAATTCCATCTCCCCATCAATAGGGTTGCTGCCCAGATCTAAAACCTGTCGATAAACATGAATCGGCGTGTGTTAATTGAAATAAGGGATT